AGAAATTACTTGAATATAATGTAAATGCCTTTTTTAACAATTTAGGAGAATATTCTAATTAATCTAATATTTTATTGATTTTTAGGTACTTTGATTTAATAGTTTTACTTACGAAGATGCTTGTTGAGGAAATGTTAGAAAATTACCAATAAATTCTAAGTTATTGCTCTTATTTTCAGATAATGTATATTGATGTCTGTATTTACAAAAATAATTATTCATACACACACACCAAAAAAAATTAAAAATTCTTTTTAAAGTATTGGGTATCGCTGAATTACAGTAAACTTTTCCATTGATGATTATTAAATATAGTTTTTATTAAAATTATCACTTAACCAATACAAATTAAAACAGAATTTTTAAAGATTTAAAACTATAAATTATCATAATTAAAATTTAAAGATGATGGAAACAATTCTTGTTAAAATTCATTATTCATTGAAAAGTCATTAGTGACCATAATATATCTTATTCATAAAAGCAATTAAATGCTCTTTTAATTAAACAATGTCTTAGTTTTATTGCATTTTTTTATTTTATGATATGAACATATGTACCTCCAAAAACTTTCTAAAAAAGAGCATATCATGATGAAAAAAGGCCCCAAATTTGATAAAAACAAAAGTTTTGTTGTCAAAATGTTTGTTATTATTAAGAGGAAAGGCCAAAGTATTTTATTATTTTTTTTTTTTTTGCATCAGTGGGTGGGCCAAAGAATAGTATAGGGATTTTTAGTGTCTCTTTTTGGAAATAAAAACACATTGTTTTCAAAGTTTATGCAAAAAACAAATAATTGTCAGATTTTTTTGAGAAAATCTTGGCAAAAATATTTTTTTTAATATTTGTTACCCATACTTAATTTTATGAAATTTTGAGAAATTAAAATGTCAGCCTCTTCATATTTATATTAATTATTAAATGCAGGACTCCTTGGAGAATTTAAATTTGTTTTTGTCAAACAAAAAAAAATCCCTTCCAGTTAATTAAATTAGTTTTTGAAATACAGCAAAGTATTTTGCTTATTGAAAATATTAATTTTAATTTATAAGCTTGAAATTAAAACTAAAATATTAGCTTCAATAAAGATTTTTCAATTAAAAAAAAAATCATGTTTTTTGTGGAGGACCCTATAAAAAAAAGATGTTCTTTCAGTAAAAAATTTATGCAATATCAAGTCTGAACATACTGAAAATTGATCCTAAATCTTACCAAAAAATAATTCAATAAAACTAAAATGTATTTTTATTTCAGATTGGACAAGGAAAAAAAAAAATTTACACTGAATATTTATTTTTAACAAATTTACTTGTAATTTTTCAATGTGATTTTGAAATTCATCTTATTGCTGTTCATAACTAGTTCTTTTGATTAAGTAAAGGTATGTTTGAAGAATTGAAAAATGTAAAGTTTAATGCCATTTTTGAGTGTAAACCTTTTTTAAAGGAATTTTAATTTTTTTTTTTTATTTTAGCAACTGTCAGATAATTTTTTGTACAAAAGTTCAAAAAGGAAATAATTCTAAATTACCTTCTTTTTGACTGAGTTGTATACTGTAAATAAGACATCTCTGGTAATACAAATCAACTAGGCAAGACGCCTTAAATAGAGAACTCAAAGTGAGTCAAGGAGAAGTCTGTTGGAATCAGTTGAGGAGAATTTCTAATGACGTCATGGCAAGTAGCCTAAGTGAGACAAAATGTTATAACCGCTAGGAGTGAGTTATAACAGACTGATTACTCTTCCCTATTAGAAGAGTAATATGATACATGATAATTTAATAACTCTTAAATTCGAAATAATAAAAAGAACAAAAATTCATTGGGTGCAAATAAATATTTTATGACATCAAACAGGTAAAAAATAAAGTGAAAGCAATATATTAAATTCAAAAGTATCATTTAATTAAGACTTACTTCCAGTGTAGTGTAAAAAATATTCATTCTACTAAATTTAATTTATTTTTATTTATAATTGATTATTGCACTGCTGGTATTCTATTTTTTTTTTTTTTTAAGTCTGGTATGAAAGTAGAAAATTTAATTACTGTTATTGACCTTAACATTGCAGGCTACCCTATGTAAATAAATGTTATTTTCACTATGTTCTAGGTAAAAAGTATGCATTACATTTACAAAATCCAGTTAATTAATCTTCAAATTTGTTATTTGACTTTGAAATCCATCTCTTGGAGAAACATTGAATTTTTAAGAGATTTATAAATTTGTTGTTTACATTTTTCATCTATAATATGGCAGTTCAATGAAAGATGAGCAAATGTGCCAATGTTTTAAAAATGCCTAAACTTTAATTAAATGCTGAAATTAATTTTCCCTTTTAATACAGATTAGCTTTTAAGCTATTATCTTTCAAATAAAACCAAAATTTAATGTCAAAGGACACATTTAAATTATTTATAATGCATTTTTTGAGATTTATTTTAGTAAGTCTGTGCACTACCTACTTTTTTTGAACCTTTAAAAATTGATTTTAATTTCTCCTCTTTTTCTCTCCTTTTTTTCTTTTTTTTGTTTAAATAACCTTACAAAATAATTTACTCCATCTTACCAATCCACATTAATTACTTTCTTTTTTCAAGTTGGAGAAAATGTGTTTTATTTAATTTATTTTTTTTTGCTTAAATTTTTAAAACTTACTGAAAATCTTAATGATTGATGATTTAGTTTTTTTTTTTTTTTTTCAGTTACAAAATTTATTAGGATTAAAAAAATTAGATAAAACTAATAATGTATCTAGTTAGAAGAAATTGGAAAAATCATTGTCAAATGAAATAAATCACTTATTAAAGTTTACGAACAAAGACAAATTTAATAATTCTCTTTCATTAAATGCAATTGGTTTTTCATTTCCACCATTTTCTTCCTCTTATGTTGTTCACAAAAGATTAATCTTCTAATATTTCTATAGAACATAGAGAAAACAAAACTGAAATGAATTAAATTGATGGCTAACATTTCTGCTGCTTAATTTTGTTCAACAAGTGATTTTTAGAAAAACAAAGTTTCCAATTAAAATCATTCTAGCCTTATTTCGTAAGACATTAAATTCTTAAAATATTAAAGTTCAAACATTAAGTTTAATACATTTTTATTATTTATGTTTTTACTTTGTATCTGTGATATTATTCTTGAATACCTTGCTAAATGTTTTATTATAAAATTTCTGAGCCCTCCTGTTATGTAGTCATATTTATAGATAATTTTTGTAACATTTTAAAAATATTTTTTGAAAATAAGTTGACAGATATGATTTGTTTTATTGTATAAATTGTTTTATTGATACATTTATAACAAAGGCCTTAAAAAATTGTTTTGTTTTTTTTACTGCTTCTTGTGTATTAAATCTGATTAATGTCTTATTTTTGACTACTAAATGCAATTGAACTTTCATTTCTATCTCCTTTCCTTCAAGATTGTTTTCCTTGATTTTAACGCTTTGAATATTTGCAGTGTACTTTAAACAATATTTAAATAGAAAAAACCTAAATAGAAAAATTAAAGCCATTTTAGATCAAGAAATAAATCTGATAATCAAATTCTGGCTATATATGAATTGTGAATAGTAGAAATTCATGACAGTTGTCTTATTTTGAACTTGACTAATTGATTTTGACTTGAAGGACATTCAAAACTGATGATGATTAATAGACATTGGTACTCTTCACATTATTCAGATTTAATTCTTAAATTATTCACAATAAGCTTCTTAAAGCTAAAAGAGTCAACTTTCTTTGTTTATTACAATCTGGCAAAGAAAAGTATTAGTTTTGAGTTACTTGATCCATTAAGAATTCTCTTGTAATAGAAAAAACTGTGTGTCATTGAATAACAATAAATAAATTTCCTTTTTCTGCATCTTTAAAACACTAGAATGACTTTTTCTGTAATCAGTCTTTGAATGAATTGGTGTTTCTAAATTGTAAAGTCCCAAAGAATTTTAACATGACTTGTGCATAAAATTAATAGCAGTGACAAGTTAATATTGAGATGTAATTACTTAGAATTATTTTAGAAAAATTAATTGAGAATAGTTTATTGTACCTTAAGAATACTTTAAATTGTCTGACATGTTACTTCTGACTATAACTATATAGTTAGGCTATTTGTAAATTTAGTTTTTGGTCTTCTTTAAATGCTAAACTTTTCTATAAATGAATGGAAATAATTTCAACATGAGCTTGTAAAATATATATTTAAAGATATAAGTAAAATTATAGAATAGCATGCAAAATATAAAATATTATCAACACAATTAAGATTATGTTCAAAATATAAAACTACACAAAAATATTCATTTTAGCTCCCCCAAATAGTATATTTAATTTATAACTGAAATAATATAATTAGTTTAAAATTAGTATTGAACAAATAAATGAATTCATCATTATAATGTTTGTTTAGATGAAGAAGTTGTCATTTTAATTAATATTTTTGATAGGAGACACTAGAAAATGAAGTATTCATTCTTTTTTGTTTTTCCTTGATGTAAAAAAATATTTGGTAAATGACAACTGAATAAATTTCTAAGCTTCCAGCCCAATGAAAAAAGTAATTAATCTTAAATTAAGAAATATCTAATTCTTTAAATAACAAGTTTAAATTTTTTTATCCTCAAATGTTTATTCACTATTATTGTGTTACTAACTGTACAAATTCTGTGAAAAATGAGTTCATCATTTAAAACTAATGATGATGTTATAGTACTGTTATCTTGGTTGAATTGAACAATAACTGAAAATAGCTGATATTGAAATAATATGAAAAATGAAAAACAAAGTATATGAATATATTTAAAATAATTCTGAAGTTATAAATATAGAAGTTAAAGTATCAGGTTTTTCAACACTTGATGATTTCTATTTTGAATTAATGCTATTTTGAAAAGGGTTATGCATAAAAAGTCTGTGAGAAGAAATTTCAGTCAGGATAAATTATTATTTGGTCTCATATTTCATTTCCGATTTTATATTTTCCTTTTAGCACCAATTAACCAACAAAAATTATCATGCCAAGTAAAAGAAAACGTCCTGCACCAAATGTGGATAATAAAAATGAAGAACAGGAATTATCCACACCAGTCCCAAGTAAAAAAAAGAAAAAGGCACCCTATGATCCCGTAAGTAGTACTTAATGAATTATTTTTTCCTCATATACATATCAACATCATTAGCATTCATTTTAGTATAGTTCATCTTATTTTTTCCATTTTATAGTTATTAAGAGCAAAGTTACTTTATTTTTTGACTTGTTTATTCTGTTGTATAGAATATTTCTAGGAATAAATTTAATTTTATAAAAGTTTTTAAACTTTGAAATGTAATTTAACTTTTGTTTACATCAAATCAAATATTAAAGAAGAAATAAATGTATCCTAACTGAATTGTTACTTTTTTTAGTGTAGGTACCTCCACAGAAATGTGATATATCTATGGTTTAAAATGAATTTAAAAAAATGTAAAGCTTTCTTGAAGCTTTTATTGTTGCAATTTCAAGCTAATAGATTAAATTTAATATTTCCAATAAGCAAAATATTTTGGTGTATTTCAAAACTAATTTAAATTGACTGGAAGGAGGTTTTTTTTTTTTGTTGAAATCAAAAATATTTTAGCCATCTATCAGCACAATGTAATTCTCTTAAAAATTTTTTTTCAAAAATAATATTATTTGAAACTTTATTTGGAATATTAGCTGATTTAAAGTTTAATTAATCTGATTTGAAACATTACTTGCTTTTTGTTTAAGGTTATAGATGGAAGTGTAATTAATTTTTTTCTATGGGCAACTTGTCTGTAAAAATTACTTGAGAAATATAATGTGAGTGCCTTTTTTATATAATTTTTAACTAACCAGTAATTTTAAAAATTTATGAAAATATTCTCCATAATCTAATGTTTTATTGAATTTTAGGTACCTTAGCTTTAAATTTACTATAGTTATTGCTCTTATTTAAGATAATGTAATGGATATCCATATTTACAAAAATCTGCACGATTATACATGCACAAAAAAATTCAAAATTCTTAAAAATATTGAGGGTCACTGAATTGTAAGCTTTTCCATTTATGATTAGTAAATATACTTTTTACTTACTAACAATATCATGTAACCTGGTACAAATTAATACAGAAATTTAAAAGATTTAAAATTTTATAAATTATTCTAATCAAAATTAAAAAAAAAAAATAAACACAATTCTTGTAAAAATTCATTATTCATTGAAAAAAAATTTTTTTCTTAAGGCTATGTGTCCATAAAAGCTTTCCTAATAAAATAATGTCTTAGTTTTATTGCATTTTTATTTTATAATTCAGAGCAGATTTTTGGTAACTTTGGAGTCTTGTTTTACAAAAGAAAATTAATGATTTAAATTCTCCAAGGAGTTCTGCATATAACTAATATAAACATTAATTGATGCAAATTAATTTCTCAAAATTTCATAAAATTAAATAAGTAAATGTAAAAATTTAAAAAAAAAATGTTTTTACTCAGGATTTTCTTTAAAAAAAAAAAAAAAAAATAGGAAACATTTCTAAAATAATTTAATTAATTTTTTAATAGGTCCTGAAAGTTTCATTAAAATCTCATAATTATTTGATTTTTGAAAGAATATACAAGTCCAAAGTTTGGGGGTGTGCCTTTTTTTTTTTATCATGGTATGCTCATTTTTTAGCGAATCTGTAGAGGTGCCTATTTTAGTATAATACAAATCTTCAGTCCTGGGTGCTCTCGTTGGTAAAAGCCAAAGTCCACAGTCTTTTAAAAACTTTTATAAGTTTTATGGCAGAATATAAAAACAGAAGAATGAAGCATAGAGGATAGAAAACAACTTTAAACAAGTGGTTCTTAATGCTGATGAATTTGTTGAAGTTATGGGAAAGGATTTTCTTCTTATTGGTTGGGTATGTGTAGATGAAAAGGGACAGAAAACTCTGCAGCACTGGAATCAAACACTGAATCACAATGAGCTGGGCACAGATAACACTTCCATATGGGAACACCACACATGGGACAAATGCAGGTGAGACATCAGAAACACAAACAAGGGCAAATAAATTTGAAACAACATTGGGTAACACAAACAGAAATCCTTGGTAATGCACAGTAAACCTGTTGTATAGTCAACACTACCAGACAGCTCCTTTCAGGAAAATATGTTTGCTTTTATGGAGCCTAAAAGCTTAGAAGTTAGGTAACATTTACATAGCCAACACTGCTCAGCTCACCATCCTGACTATTTCATTGGGAAGCTGGTAGACACTTTCTTCATAAGCAGATCTCTCAGGGTTTGTGCTGGCTCCTCTGTTCTGTCAACTTTCTGCAGAGGCAGCACACTAAACATTGTCTCTTTGAAAGACAAGGGTGAGTACCATTATCAGTAGTGGTAAGCAGATCTATTTGCATTTTGTTTCCAACACATTATGACAAATTTCAGTCTGAAAGAGGGAGAGTAACAAGTGATATTACATGTTATTTATACATAGTTTGAAAAGACAATTCTTGTCATATTGGTTATTTCTCAGATGTCTTGGACAAAGTTTAAAAGCAGTGTTAATTCTTTTTTAGCAAATGACTAAAAATTGCATGAAATGTTTTTGAGTTATAGTGTGACCTTAAGTCAACCTGGTTCCAGATATAGCCTTGGTCACGCCACTGAATACCATCTGGGCACAGCACCAACTGTAATCTGGTTACTGGCATAAGGCAGAACTGTCTCTTGATCCCTGGCTGAAGAGATCCTCTCAATGCTGAAATTGGGTATGCTGGATCACAAGTCCATTGTGTATCACAATTTGTTACTAAAAGTAACAAAATTGTGCCATGGTAAATTTTAATGGATCATCTATGAATATCATCTTGTTTCCTCAAATGAAAATCAAGGAAGAATGTTGCGACACTGGATTTGATGATAAAAGAAAATCTGAAGTTTTATTTTCCTTTAGTTAGACATAACAATCTTTTAAAAAGTTCATGATTTAATAAAAAAAATGCTTGGAGAAAGTTCAAACAAAAAATTAACTAACAATTAAATTCTTTAGTATGAGTCAGATCCACGAGAAAGAAAAAAATAAAGTGTTGTTAAACTTCCCAAATTATCATAAGTTCATTCATGAGAGAAACAGCCTAGTATTAGCAATCAGTAGCAGCAGTTTTCTGGTTTGTTCGGCAGTTGCAGTTTTGTTCTGTTCTTGATGGGATTGTTGTCTCTATTTCTCTCTCAAAACTATATCTCTGGGCGACTGCTATTAGCTGTTTATATAAAAATTAACATTTTTCTGAGGAAGGGCAGAGTGCGTTGGGGGTGATTCACACCAGTTGGAAAATAATTTTACAATATTAGGTTCTTTGTCCTTCCTCCTAACTAGGCTTGTCCCTGGTAACGCTAAAAAAAGTGGTATACCCTGGAGAAAAAAAGTCCCCAAATTGATAAAAAAATTTTTAACAAAAAATCAAAATTAGTTCAAAAATCAATTAAAATTCAGTTACACCTTTTTTTTTTGTTATCTTAGGAAATTTAGAATGATTAAAGTATACTTAATGTAATTTGAAAGAAACATTACTTACTTTTTTTAGCATAAAATTTTTTAATAGAGATATTTCCAACCGTGGTGAATTGCTGTTGGTGCGTGATTGAAGGGTGTTAATTGATGGGTGTCAATATATTGACAACTTACGTCAAGGGAATTTATCGTACGGTAGCACAGAAGTGATGTAATTCGTTCTAATTTTAAGTGAACCTGGTTAGTAAATTTTAAAAAAAAAATAACTTTCAATTTTTTTTTTTTTTTTCTAACCTTACGTTTGAAGAAAAATTTCTGCACTGAAAATAACATTTAAATTGTGAAAAAAAATCAAATTTTACAAGTAAAAATGAAACAGTGACAACATTTTTTTAAATTGAGTTATACATATTTTATTTATTAATAAAATTAATATTGAAATGCTATGCAATCGATTTCAAATTTTGCTTTGAATGAATGCAAAGTAATTTCTGAAGTAAAAAGAACTTGCTTCTATCTAGGGAAACAACTCTACCTCACGTGATGTTATTTCAAAGTTGTGCATCCATACTTTCTTGGAGACGATTTTAAATACAATTTTGGAATATTAAAAAATTATTTTAAAAATATTAACGGTTGTCAGATTTTAATAAGCTTTCAAATTTATGATCTATACGAAGTAGAGAACATAATATGTCATTTCCATAAGGTTCTATAAAGAAACTTAATTTTAAAATATATAACAACATTTTGTCATATTGTGTATTTAAAATAGAAAAAAAAAAAAAAAAAAAATATTGTAAAAAATTCATTTTTCATCAAAATTTTTTTTTTTCAGATAAGAATTACCTTAGTATATGTTATTCAGAAAAGTCATAAAAAGTTTTTTTTAAATTAAATATTGTCTCAGTTTTATTGGATTTTGTATTTCTACAATTGAGGTAAAAGTTTGGACAATTTTGTACATTTTTTTACCAAAAAAATCGATGATTTAGAATCTTCAGAGTCTTGTGCATTTAATTGAAAAAACAAATTCAGGCTTTGAAAATAAATTTTTGAAGTTTTCATAAAATTAAGTTCGAGGGGTGTAACAGATATAAAAAAAAAATATTTATACCATGACTTTCAAAAAGACAAACATTTCTAAAATAATTTCATTCATTTGTGAATAAGTTCTGAAGGTTTCATTAAAATCCAACAAGTACTTGATTTTTGCAAAATTTTCCAAATCAATGTGTTTTTTTCAACTGAAAACAGTGAAAAACAAATAATGTTAATATTACCTAATTTTTGACCTAAAAAAAAAACAAGATTTTCAACCTAAATTTAAAAAATGCTGCAAATGAAAAAAAAAATTTTTTTAAATAATTAAAAAATACCTTGGTCTTCCCTCTTTAATTTTAACATAAACATTTACACGTTACAATTTTTTTTATCAATTTGGGGACCTTTTTTCTCCAGGGTATACCACTTTTTTAGTGTTACCTGGGACTACCCTACTCCTAACTGATATGCAGTAGGGATTCCTGGTTTTGTTTTCTTTGGAAATAGGTGTCAGGAAACTTTGTTCAACACTTTCCACTAACCTTTTAACCTTAATTCTTGATGGGAGCATGTTTGTTACCTGAAGATTTACCGAACAAACTCAAATGACTAATTGCACATACTCACATTCCATACCTATTAACACATACTCACATTCCATACATTGCACATACTCACATTCCATACCTATATTTTCCTTTGTTCAAATTAATAAATAGTTTTGAATCTTTAAGGAAAGTTACATTTTCAAAATTAATATTCTTTTTGCTTTTATACTCACTCCATACTGGTACAATAGTAGCTTTCACAATTTCTTTTCTTTTTTTTATGTAGAGGAGCTAGAAGTCATTTATTGTTTGAGAGTCAAATCGAGAAAAAATGTTACTTTATTGTAATTTTAAGGATTTATATGAGTTGCTTTCTTTAACTAATGTTATTATCAATAATAATATTTGAATACTCTTAAGAATTAAGGGTATTTTATTATGAAGAAAGGAATTTTTTTAAGCCTACTGATTTTGGGGCTCAAAACTTTGTTTCCTTTAAGAAATACATATATTCAAAGGAAGGAAATAATGCAGTTATTTCACTTTTTGAAGGAATAAAAATAAATGTTTGCTTTGTTCAGCTCTTATTAATGATTAATTTTATTTTATATTTTTCAGATTGAAATTTGTCAAGAACTTTATGAAACTATCCGCAATTACAAAACTGAGGATGGTCGCTTGTTGTGCGAGGCTTTCATTAGGGCGCCTAAACGAAGGTAAACAATTCCTCCCATTTTATTAGATTTAGAGAAAGAATATAAAATTTTTCTTCTTATTCTCCATTAGATAGAATGGTACACAAATTTAAATTGGGATTTGAACCTAACCAGATCATAATGATGCTTTTTGTGTTACTATTCTTAATGACATTTTTTTTGTTTTGGTTTCTGTTGAGATGTTGTGAGTTTCCCGCGTGTCGGTGTATGAATTAAGACAAACACAGTTGTAGAGGAAAATACTGGTATATTCATAAACGCAATTAACAATAGAGTGATTAATAGAACGAAGGTTGGTTAGTACTAACAATATCCAAAGTCTATAGTCCAACGGTATGTACCGGGTAAGCTTATCTGGACTGCTCACGCTGACTCTCTCTCTCTGACGCTCCCCCACTCTCTCTCCAGAGCTGACTTATATAAGAGGGACGAGTCCATTACTAGTTAGAAGGTGGGTGCGCCCCAACAGTTTCTTATATGGAAAATAAAAGATCAATCCTGAAATTCATAGCAAAAATTTAATTATACATTATATTTTTTTTCCAAATTGTTCAGAAAAGTCATTTGGAATTGTAATTTTCTCCATTAAAAGGGAAGATTCATAAAATTTGTTTTATATTCTCATTGGATTATTTTGCTTCTTTTACTGGGGCAAATTCTTAACTAATTATATTTTTCCAGTTTTGATGATGTAATTTAATTTTTCTTTGTAGGACTGCTGCCGATTACTATGACGTGGTAAGCACACCCATCGACCTCCTCAAGATCCAACAAAAGCTAAAGACAGATGAATATGAAGAACTTGAACAATTTGCTGCTGATATTGAACTCATGGTCAACAACACCAAAGCTTATTATCGTGTAAGGTTTCTTTCACTTGATATTTATTTAACTACAAGGGGATGCTGAAATGTTCTTGGCCTGACCTATGTCTCAAAATCTGGCTAAGCATGAGATTATTTTTGGAAGGGCTCCTTGGTTGGGATAAGAACTTTTTAACACCTTTTGTACACTTTTATTCATTAAAAACTTGTTACTTTTTGGAACATTGGTAAAGATATCTCTTTAAAGAGAGAAATGTATTTGCCATAAATTCATGTTGATAGCAAGAAATATTTGAATTTGGTACATTTTACTTTCATTTATTTGTAATCAGCAAATGGCTTGAGCAAAGAACATGTCTCTCATATTCAGTAACATGATGTGCTGAAATGGAGATATGACATATTGCTAAACACTGAAAACATGTCACAGAATCACCTAACCAATATGCATCATCAGGTGCTGTTGTTCCTTGCCTCTTTTGTGATTGGGAGTGGTCATGATTTGAAATAAGGAACCCTTGTCCCTTGTTTGACCTCTCTTTTTCTCTCCATTCTACAGCCAGATAATATGAGAGCTATCAACTATAGAATGGTGAGTTGTGTTGTGCTTTTATACTATTATCACTTATGATAGAAAAATCACTACCTGTTTTGACAAACTGTGATATTCATTGGTGCTTCCAATATATTGTCTTTATATTCTTAACTTGCTAAATTATAAAAGATCAATTTTCAGCTAAACTAAATTCAAAATCTTGTTTAATATGAAAATTTTTCTAACTCTGCTTAGATAAAAAAAATCTTGAATTGGAAATTGTCATTTTTTGTTTCTCTTGTATTAGGAAGTTGTTTGCCAATTTGCTGTGTTCTTTTTAAACTGCTAGTGTTTTATTTCTCATGATATTTCATCAGGTCTTGTCAGAACGGGTTGGATGGATAGTGCTCCAACATTGCATTTTTTTACTCTATCACTAACAAGCTTTTTGTTCTCAAAATAAGCATTAATATTGCAGAGTAATGTTGTTGGGGGTAGGTAAAAAAATAAACACTAATCTTGGTAACCTAAAGCTTTCATTCTTACTTGTCAATGAAAGCCACAAACATTTCTGTAAAACACTTAGAATGAAGTGTATTCCTAATCCTTGTTTTTTTTGTTTATGAGAATAAATGGCTTGTTGGTTTGATTTTACTTTCTTTCAGTTAACATTTAGCTGCACGTGTCTTAAGAGCAAGACATTCATAGTTATGCCTGAGAAAGTGTACTAAACAGGACTAAAGAGAATGTGGTATGCATATAAAAGAAGCAAGAGATATTTTGACTGAAAGTAATGTCTCTTGTATTAAGAGCTTTGCCGTTTCCTCTTACCAACAGCAACAAGTGATTCTTAGCTAAACCTACTTCTCTCATTGAAGATTAATCCAATTGACTGCTTTTTAATGATGATTTTCTTTCTGTGACTCTACTTTAATTCAAAAAGATAAGGCATGCATATTACTTTTTTGTTGACTTTAGAAAAATTCTCAGGAATACAAAGATGCTTGTGATTTATGGGAAATATTTCAAACTACTCGAAATGAATTGCTGTCTGAGGCATTTGGTGATCCCTCCCCAGCTCCTAGCTTACCACCTGTCACAGCTGTCTCTGGCACTACCACCATGACTACAACTACAAGCAGCTGTACAATGGTGGCAGCAGCGGCTGCAGCATCAGTTACTGTGGCTGCAACTGCTGCATCTGTCACTACTGTTGCTACCACTACCACGCCTACCACTCCTGTTCCTGAAAGACGTCGGAGTGCTCGAAAGAATCCTAATGATGGTGGACAGATTCAAGAAGAGGAGGAGGAAGAGATGAAGGTGGAACCTCCAGAGACACCAACTCACACAGGACCTCTGTCCAGTGAAGATGTCATGGAAATCAACCAGCTCTACACTGCCATTATTTCTGCCAAAGATGGAGAGCGTGATATTAGTGAAGTTTTCCAGAGACTTCCACCAAGATCTGTGAGTATTAATTCTGCACCAACAACACATTTTCCATTTTTATTTCTTCCTAAATCCATTTATAAGAATGAAATTTATCAGAACAAAGATTTAGAAAATTATTTCCTTTAGGAAATAATTTTCTTTTTTACTGCTTTTCAGGCCTTAAATGTTGTATATCATATAACTACAAAACTAGCAATTTCTTTTCTTTTTTTTCTATAATCTCCATTGGCACTTCATTTAGATGCAAAAATTAGGGCTCTTCTTTTTTTGAATTTTATATTTGCAACCTCAACTGAAATTTCAGCTTGGTTTACTGATTCTGTTTTCTGAGCTAGTTATAATTATACCATGCCTACAACTCCAAGTGATGCTGTATTCTTTACTTCCATGGCTTTAGTTGCCCCTCTCTCAAGTTAGATTTTTTGTTTTGCATTGTTCTAGAAGGTATGGCGGAGTAATGGATAGCAGCTTGGATTGAATAAATCGGAGAGCTGAGTTCATATTCCAGTTGAATCCATTATTCACTTAAGTGCTAATACCCTTGGGAAAGGTATTAATCCTCTTCTTCTCCCCCCAGCTATGGGTAAATAGCAGGACAGACTGGGTTCTATAGCCTTGAATGGCAGCTGGTCTACTGCAGAAAGAAATGGCAACCTACTGTGGGGGAAAAAAAATCTGTTGTCAGTTCATGTATCAAAAGATACAGGATTGCCTAAGCATGTATCACGCATGGCACATAAATGACTGATTGTCCTAAAGAGATGGTAGCTTCTTTTGAATTCTTAACAATTATAATAGTAACTTTTGTATAAAGCTTTATTTTTTTTTCTAAATTAAAAAAAATTGTTGGAATTGTATTTTGCGTTAAAAAAGAGTTAAATCCTCCAGCTCAAGGAAGGTAAATCCATAAGGCAACATTTTTCTCATAATTGAATATATCAAAAAAAAAAAATATATATAAAATAAAACTGTTCTATTCAGTCAAAGCAGATTAAAACTACATACAAAAAATACATTTTGTACAACCTCTGCAGCATGTAGTATTTACAATGTAAACAAGATAATTACTACCACTACAGTTGCTACTGATAGACAGAAACTTATTAATTTTACATAAATTTTTAAAAAGCAGCCAGTGATCTTTTGGTTTAAACACTTACCTGCTTACCTTCAGGTTGAACATTCAAATTTTTTCAGGATTGCCTTTGTAAAACAAAACAGGTTTTATAACTTTTTATAAAATTGAATTAATATACTTTTAATGCATTTAGAAAAAATTCCAGATTCTACAATTTTTTATTTGATTCTCTTAAAATTGAATAATTAAACAGTAAAATATTTATTTCTATTTTTCTTTACTATTTTCATATTGTGAAATTTTATATCAAAAATGTATTTTTTGATCAGAGGAAAATATACTGCATTAATTGAAAATGAATCTTAACATTAAATAAAATGTAATCCATATTGAGATATTTGTAAACTAGCTGAGCAATGCTTGGTGTATTCAGTTGATATTAAATTCTGTGTCTTGCCAGAAGAATTTACCATAACCATTTCAACCACCAGTTCAGTTGTACTTAATGGAAAGTAATGAGCCACTAATCTAAGAAGTTGGGCATGAGACTTTTGGGATTCCACACTTTCCGCATCAACATTTTCTGAAAGCTATTTTAGAGAAGCATAAATTCCATACTGTCATTTTCTCTTCATCTGTTTCACAAGTTTCCATGAAATTGGCTTTAATGTTTAAGGGGTCTGAAATAAGGTTTCACTCTCGGCCTTGCTGAAGTTTGCAGAAGCAAAGAGCTCCTAATTAACAGAAGATGCAAAGAGAAACATTTTGCCTATTCTTGTATTTTCTTTTACTTTATGATTGTTTTGTTAAAAATCAGTGAGATAAAATAAAGCAAAAGCAGTTAATAAGGATCTAGGAAGCTTAACAAGGAGGCACATGTTTGCTGGTGTTACAAAAGTTTCATTATTCATAGTCATTTTAGTTGACTTTTTTTTTTTTTAAATTTGTTTTTTTCTTCTTTTTTTTTTTGTTCAAACAAATTCTAAAACAAGCATAGTAATTATAAACATGATGGGATTTATGCATAAATTGACATTTTGCTTAGGATCAGAGTATCTGTGTTCTGTCAAGTGTTACACACACACACACACATATATATATATATATATATATATATATATATATATATATATATATATATATATATATATATATAAAATAAAAGCCAATGTCAGTGTGTCACATTTATTCAGTTAAAGGGACACAACTCTCAATAGCTCATCTTTGTTGAACTTTTAAAAGATAAGCTTAAATTTTAATGGAATACTTAAATGCACCAATCAATTTTGAGTTCTTCTGTAATTGTTGTTTATCACATCTACTCCCAACTACCTATTGTGATGAAGGCCCAATCAAGAGCCCTCTGCAAGAGCTTGCTTAAATGCTGCCTGATAGGTTTCTTGCTACATATTTACTTTGGAAAGAAAGCATGATAAGCAATGTCCAACCTGAACTTTTTTCTGGGCAGGGTATATTTTTACTAGAAAGTCCTCAAACAAGTTACCCCTTTTATTCTTGTTAAAAATTTAATCTTTGTATGAGCCAATTTCTGCATATATTTTTCTGTTTTTTGCCAGAAGTATCCTAAATATTATGAAATCATCAAAGATCCCATTGACCTGAAACTTATTGGCCAACGGATTCAAGATGGTTACTACTCCAATGTTGCTGCTTTAGAGAAGGACCTGCTGCTGATGATCAAGAATGCTAAGACGTTCAATGAACCACGCTCCCAGGTTTACAGGGTAAGCAAATGTTTTTCTCTTCCTCCCCCCCCTCTGTCTGTCCATCTGTCTGTCAGCAATCATTTGACAGTTGTTGATTACTTCTTCATTTGCACTACATTGGATTTGTCTAATGTCGGTCTTCAACAATATAGATTCCTTAAATTTTTACTACTTCTTTCTTAAGTACTCATTGAAAAGTAGAACATTTCTGTTTTTTGTTGTTTAATTTTTGTTTGTAGATATCTTTTTGAAGAGTGGATTTTGCATGTCACCCATGCCTGTCCACATAAGCACTTGTAGTGCACTCTGCTGTCAGTCATCTGAGCCATTGGGCTTGTGAGTTTGATATCCTCATGAGTTGTTTTACAAACTGCCAATCAATTGATATGCAATGAGTTATTCAAATCCAGTGTTATGCAAATGAACATTGTATTTTGTCTTAATTGTGTTCTCAAAGCAGCATGTTGTCATTAAGTTTTTGTTCTTTCTTCCCCCTAACATGGACTTTTTTTTTTCTTTTTTAGCCAATTTTATTGGCTGTGTTCTCTCTAAGTATTCTTATTAGAATGTTTGCTTTTCAGTTATGTGACACTTAATCTGGTATCAGGAATGCTTTTGTATATTTTCCTTCCTGTTTCTTTTTTTCATTTCCTTTCTTGAAAGGATGAAAAGGTGAGATTTTTGTTTTGACTTTGCAAAGATTTTCAAGAAAGTGTAAATGTTAACAACTTTGCCATCTCTCTTACAGGTAACACTTCACGTATATAACAATATTTCAGCTTTCATTTTTTTACTTTTTTAAAAACATCCATAAAAATATGAATGTTTGACCAAAGCTTTTCATAAGTTTTTGTTCTCCTCCCCCACTTTTTCCTACAGTTTTAAAATCTCATTTCATCTCCCAATAAATAAGTGTACTCTGTTGGCAGAAGTCTCTTTCACTTAGCCTCTTTTATGTTCTCCTCTCATATAAAAAAGACATAAATTTGGCTTAAATTCATGCTTGTACAAGTGTATTATTATTTAGTGGCTCTAGTATTGGACTGACAGTCTTATTGTTTAATTCACAATGGTAGGTAGGTTCATGAAGCTTGCTAAACTAACAGGTGGTGGTGGTGTGGGCAACCATCTAGCTTTATTCTCCGTTAAAAAGGTGATGTATAGCTGGAACCATATGATATATAAGACTTAAGGTTTTTATTGTTTCAACTCATTAGTAACTGGATGATCTTTCTGTTTATTTTCAATTTCCATTCCAGAAACTGACATTTATTTGGTTATTATTTGAAATTGGTTTCTTATATCTGCTTTGTGTCTTGCTCATGAGATGCATGTATTTTTCTGCCCTCCTCTTCCTCCTCACCAAAGTTCCTGGTTTGTAATTCTTCATCATTTGTGTGTTTTCTGTAGATGTGAAAGAAGTTGATTGATGCAAAATCCCAGACCATAACTCCCTAAATCTTCAAGTTCTAATCAAATTTTCTTAGTAATGATTATAATTATCCTGTCATTGCTATTTAGCCTTTATGTTGGCACACATTTGTATCAGTTTTAGTGTTATGGCTTTAGTTTCATTTTTCCAATCATCTAGATTTTGTTAAGCTATTCACCTTTTATCTATACTTGATAACTAGCTTGTGCAGCAAATGATTCACTTTATAAAATTATCAGTGGTCTTATTGTAAACTATGACAATAAAGTTCTCTGAAATTGAACTGTAGAGGTCACTGAGAAAGTGCAAGCTATTTTTATACTCTATTTGCAGCATACAAACATTCTTGTTGATGTCATTGTTGATAAACACTACAAAGAGTGCTGCCATTATTTCAAGTTTCTTTTTTGTGGAACACTAACTCTTGATGGTTTAATTATGCATGTGTTTCAACTAAACAAAAAACTCTTTTTGCAAACCTCTAGTTCCAGATTTTGTTTTGGTCTCATTTAAATGACTTGGCAGAACTGGACATTTCCCAATTTTGATAAAGACCTTGATTTCTTATTTTAAATTTCTCTTTCAATCTGAACATTTTTCAATGTTGAAACTCACTTGTAAATTCTGTTTGCTAAAGACTGTGTAGTTAGTAGGTCATTGTAGTTAAGCGTAATTAATTTTTGACAGTTTAATAATCCACTGTTTGGATTATAAAATGTTTATCAAGCTTTTTTGAAAATGTGTGTGTGTGTGTGTGTTTTAAGTGAAACCTTGTGGAGTAACTTATTGTACAAACTTTAAATTTATTTAAGTTTTCACCAAACATTGTCATCTGAAAGTAAAATTAGCTTTAGCACCAGTTCTAATAAACTAATTTTGAAGTTTGCTTTGAATGCTTTTCTTCCAATTTCTATTAGCTGAGGCTATAGTAGAACATGTTAAATAAACACCAAACAAAAATTATGCATTCCATTGCTGTTATGCTTGGTTTGGCAATCCTCTGTTTAAGGAGAGTTTTTGAGCATCCAATGAATCTCTGCTTCTTTAGATGCATATGTGTTATGAGTCAGAGACAAACACATTTTGGACATTTCTTAATGAAAATTGTGATCAGATTGTTTAAACTTGGCAAGTTTCTTCACTTCCAGACACTGATATATTGAGCGATATTACAAACGAGAGAGAGAGAGAGAGAGATATTTCCTTTTGATCTTACCTATTAATTGAATCGGTTTTCTTCTTTCACATTTGACTTTTCTTCCCTGCATGTTTTCTTTGGTTCAAGTAAGAGAGAGAGATTTTAGAATCATATTTTTCTTACCTTTTCAACACAATTCATACACAGCTGCATTTATGTCTTTTCTTTGTTTGCATTCCACTAATTGTGAAAAATATATTTTTCTATGGATGGCAATTCTTTCTTTCACTTACTCCCATTCTTCTTTTCATAACTGTTTTCTCTTGACAAAATATCGGCCCTTACAAACATTCTCTACATGATAGAAAAGCCTCACAGCAGACAACCACTTTTCCTCATGTGAAAAGGTGTTTCTTTACTAGTGAAATATTTACTGTTAATTCTGTCCCTGTCAAGATAGATATAATTCTTTGATTACCTTGTTTAGTTTCCATTCTTTTATACATTGTTGGGCAGTAGTCAAAATCAGTTTGACATGACTGCATGTTGGGTCATGTCATTACTTTGATATAAGAAAATAGCATGTAAGTAAAAATAATTTACTATTCTTGTGCCCTTTTTGGAGGGCAATTCTACATTTTTTTTTGTATGTTGTAGCAGTTTGCTCTTGCTACAAATAATGAGAATGAAGATTTTTTTTCTCTGATTGTTTGTTGGTTTTAATTGGAGGATCTTAATTCTCTTTTGCTTCTTCCTCCTTCTCCATCAACAGCCTTACACCTTTATTTCTTTTTACCTGATTAGTTAGTTTGCTATTGTCAAACACAAATGGTTGCATTTCAGTTTGAATTGAGTTAATCTTAGCTGTTTGTTCATTTCCTTCATTTCTAATTTGCATTTCTTTATTTCTTGCCAGTTTTTACTTAGGTTTTGTGGGTATTTTTTATTACTAGGCATATTATTTCATTCTTGATTTCTGTAATGACTTTAGCTCCCAAACAACAATGACATTTTCTAAGTTAAGTTTCCTTTATAAAGAAACCATTATTTTGCTGTCATTTAATAATATTAATATCTGTACTAAAGTCATTTAGCAAATTATGAGTTCATAGTTTTAAGGTGTACTTATTTAGAAAAACCTTAGTTTTATCTTAGAAGGTATTTTACTTGTGATGGCTTTATTACAAAATTCAAAAACAAACTGATTGCTCTTTTTTCTTCTTTTTTTTTTTTAAGTAATATTCTCTGAAGTTTTACAATAAGATTAGAGAGAGAGAGTGAACATTGAATTAAATAATTGTTTAAGAGAATTAAAAAGCAAAATTCTTTCTGCACATACAAAGTTATTTTTATTCTTTGGTCTCCTTTTTTCATGAGGAATAGAGAAAAAGAAATAAATTTTGAATATTCTATTGCTCTTGGTGAAACCTTTCAGGTGATCATATCTTTTTTTCATTCCTAATATTTTAATGATTTTTTATTTTTTTTGTAAGAAAAGTTTGAAATATGACATAAAGAACTTTCAGTACAAAATTACTGCCTATTTCTGTTAATAATAAAGAAAAAGAAGCAAGAAAAGACAAAATTTTGCTGGGCTTTGAAAAGCAGCAGTTAAGTTTAGGCGCCGTCCTGCGTGTTTTTTCCATTTTTGGATGTAGAAACCTTTCCACAAAGAACACACGCCGACGAGAAGCTAATGAAAAACTCAGCTGATGAGGTAAGTAAGATATTCTAGAATTCTGAAAGCCTTTTTGCTCTCTTGCGCGATGTTATCTAGCATCATCATCATCATCATCATCATCAACTGCATGCTTATCATCTTTTGCCTAATCCTTAGGGTGCAGTACCTGATTTGGATCTTTTATTTTCTCTCTTGAGTGACTTTAGGGATATTTCTATTCAGCAAGTGGGGCTCAATCAATGGGATGGCATCAAGCATTTACAATGAATCCAGTTGTCTTGGAATCACCAAAAGTTTTTCTTTTTGTTCAATGAAAGGAACTCGAGTTACTTGCTTTAGAAACAAATCAAGAGTTTTCTTTATACAACTCAGCACATATAGGTCTGTATCCTTGTGTGCTCCAATTGTATTGAAGTACACACCAGTTACTTACTCTATTTTCTGGTATTGAAGAAGCACTCTTTGTAAATTTAAAAAAACAAAAAATCAAAAACATTTTGCTCTGTAAGATACAGAGTAAATTTTTGAAACTTTCTCAAAAAATGAGTTCATTCAACAAGACTCAATACAGTATATGTTTGAATGAAAGGATTGATTTGCATTATGCTTCTTTCGTGGCTTTGCAAGGTTAACTCCCTTTTATTTTGGGATGTCAAGTGTTGATTATATTTCTAGTAAATCTCTGTTTGCCATCCTTGCAGCTGAGCACCACCTGGTGGTGACTAATCATAACTATTTCTCCCTAAACTCTCTCATCATTAGGTTTA